GAAGCCTGCTTCTCCCTCTCCCACTCCCCCTGCTTGTGTTCCCTCTCTCGCTGTGTCTTCCTCTGTCAAATAAATAAAATCTTTAAAAAAAAAAATTTAAAAAGGGAGAAGTAAACCACTAACTAGCTGTACTCAGTCTCTTAATTCTTGAATGGACCTGCTACTTCCTTGTTGAGATTTGTTCCTGTACGACCCCCTTCTGTGCACATACACACGCAGTTGGGGTAACTTACAAGGAATGCATCTCGAGGTGTGCACAGAGAGTATCTTCTACCTTTTACCCTGTCCTGAGCTTACAGATGGGAAAACTGAGGTACAGAATTAAGTTAGAGAGACCAGCAAGTTTGCATCAATATGAATATAAATGGGGGGGGCTTCTTGAAAGGAGTGCGGTGGTCTCAGAGGGTTGAGTTCCTGGGTTAGGCGTCAGCTGGCCCCACTTTGGCCATTTGATAGGAGGGAAGAGAAGTGGGGAGGCGAGGAGTAACTCCCCGGCCCTGATGAGGATTCGAGGCAGCTTCGGGTCTGGGAAGCTGAGGATGTCACTGCCCGAGAAGAAATGGAAGAGCCGACTGGTCATTTCAGATCTTGAGGAGTCCCAGTGTCGGCCGGGTAGGAGGCTGGGTAGGAGGCCAGGGTAGAAGGAAGGGCTGGGGAAGCCAGCAGAGGGAGCAAAGGAGTAAGTTCCGGCTTGGAGAAGATGGTGTGCTGCGTTGGGAATAACCGCATCTTAGAGAGTGGTGTCATTCTCAGTCTGCAGAATGGGAAATGGGAAGAATCAGAGATTCAGAGAAGGCAGGCGACTTACCCAAAGTCACACCGTTCTCGAAGCCCACGTGAAGCCTCATGAGCCCTCCCTGCCGCACTTACCCTGCCCCACCTCCACCTCTGTTGCACTCAGGGGCCCCACCGTGGTGCCGAAGAAGGTCTGTAGCGCAGTGCCAGGTCTGACTAATGTCTTGCTCACCGTCTTCTATTGAGGGGCTGTGATTAGGCCTATTTCTAGGGGCCCGGTGCCTTAATATTCTGCCTGGTACGTCTCTTGCCAATCCAATCAGTGCTGTCTGCGGCGTGACTGCTGCTTCAGTGGCACCAGGGAGCCGAGTGAACTAAGCCCAGTATAAATAGACTCTGCCCTCATCTTGCAATTGGAAGGAGTGTTTTCCCTTCTTGGCCCCCACCCCCACATGCCCCTCCTTCCTTCTGGCCCCCCTTAGCCATAGCCTGGGAGAGCAGAGCCCAGACACTGGCATATGCCGAGTCCCCAGCCACTGCCTATCCTGTCTCAGGAATAGGTCCTGAGTTCCTTGGGGTCAAAGTGAGAAGAACCCAGGAGCCCGCATTTCCTGTGCTTCTCTAGACCTGGGTATCATTTGGCAGTTGACACAGGCGTTCCCCCCTCCCCCCGCCCCCCAAATCCATCCCTCTGCTTGCAGCCTCTTTTTAACTGCAGCCAGGGTTTCCTTCTTGTTCGGCCAGGCTTGGGAGGTTGAAATGAGATCATGTATGGAAAGGGTACCTAGCCGAGCAGCAAGCACCTTCTCTGACCACTTCTCTTCAGTCTCTGTTGTTGCTACCACTTTCCCTCCCTCATTGACTCCACGAGCATCAACAGAGTGCCAGCTCCTGGGAGCTCCTGGCCTCCCACCCACTGCTCTGTCCTCCACTCCCCGCCTCCACTGGCGGGGCCTGTGGCAGACAGTTGGGGTGGGGAGCGGGGCTCTCTTCTCCTGGCACCTGGCCCCTCACGCTCTGGTTCCCACCCACAGGCACCATGACTCCCACGAGGACCCAGCACTCGTTGGCGGGGCAGACCTATGCAGTGCCCCTCATCCAGCCAGACCTACGGCGAGAGGAGGCCATCCAGCAGGTGGCGGATGCCCTGCAGTACCTACAGAAGGTCTCTGGAGACATCTTTAGCAGGTGGGTGCTGCCACCCACCCGCACCTGATTAGGGGCTGGGCAGTCAGCGTGCACCCTGTGGCCCTTTTGCTGACCTTGGTGATTCGGCTGGCTTCCCTGTGCCCAGGGGGCCCGAGGTAGGAGGCCATCGTAGAAGCTCTTTCTCATAAGTGCTCGTCGGAGCTCACTGCTTACTGTCCCACTTAGTCCCCCCGGTTCCCTGTGGATCCACAGGCCCCAGAGGTAGTGCTCCTCTCCCAACTCCTGCCCTTCTCCCACGGGGGTGCGGGGGGTGGGGTGCCTATGTCCTCACTCATTCCTGCATATCACTCGTATCCTGAATATTTATTTAACACTTGTGTGCAAGGCATCGTGCTGCTGTCTTTAGTTAGAGCAAGGAGTAAGGCCGTGTCCCTGTCCTAACTGGAGAGTATACAGCTTTCCCCCACAATCAGAAAGTTCACGTTCTGCCACTTTTCTTTGATGAAAGACCAGACATTCGTACCTGGGTTCACTAACTGGAAGAAATCCGAAGCGGATTCTCACTTTTATGAACTGATCATTGCTTCTTCACTTCACGTCATTTTAGCTTACCGGAGGTTTCTTGGGAACACTCTGCTGTGGAGAGTGGGGGAAGCCTGGACTCTGGCAGGAGACACGGACTCTGATTAACCACAGGCATGATTAGTTCTTTCATTACAATTGTGATTAAGACCTATTTATAATAGTTTCGTAAAAACTGATAGTCATGCAGCATGAACCGTGTGCTACCGTGGATCTGAGTGTGTTAACTCATTTAACCCTCAGAACAACTTTATGAGAAGGTGCTGTTTTCTCCATTCTGTAGATAAGGAAACTGAGGCACGGCGAAGCGATTTGCCCGAGTGGCAGAGCCGGGGCCCACGCCCAGGTACTGTGGCTCCAGACTCTGGAATTACCACTGTCTGTCTGTGAAGGGGAGATAAGGTGTTACAGGAGTTGGTCTGGGAGGGGGGGTATCGGGGAAGGCGTATGTGAGGAAAACATGTCTGGGGAAATTGAAGGGTGAGTCGGAGTTATTGTGAGAAGAAGACTGTTCCAGGAAGAAATAAGGGCATGAGCTAAAGCCCTGAGGTGGAAGGGACCTGAATGGAAGCCAGTGTGGCCGGAGCAAGGAGTGAGGGGTTGAGAGGGTCACGAGGCCGGCGAGGTAGGCAGGGCCCGAGGGGTGATGACGGTTTTGAGTGGGAGAATTTCCAGTGCTCATCTGGCACAACCCTTGAGCCATAATGATTTTCACTCGGTGGTTATTTAACATGAGTTAATGGTGTTTGCTGTTTCCTTGCAAAGGTCCCAGGTTTTGTCCCGCATACAGGTCTTTGTCTTTCTCTGGCTGTTAAGAAGCCTGAGATGGGGCTCAGATCTCCTTCCTGGGGCCCACCCCATGCCTTCTCACAGGGCCCTTTTATCCCACCCCGTGTGAAGTCGTTGTCTGATTGGGGTCCTCCCGTGGTCCAAGTCACCCCCTCCCCAGACCAAGAAACCCCAGCTACTTCACCGCGAAACCTCCCCTTCACCACCGGGAAGCCGGCCTCCTCCCGGAAGCCTTCCCCAGTGAGAGCAGAAAATGGGTTCACTGTCTTCGGTTAGACTTGGTATAAACACCAGACCGTCTTACTCTTCAGCCTCTGACGTGCCCACTGACTCCCCTCCCTGCCCAAGCCTACCCAGACTATAAATGTAAGCAGGGGGCCATGCCCCCGAGTGGTGAAGGGGGTTGGCGTGGGAGCAGCCTGCGGGGCCTCCAGTCTGGCTTCCCCACTGGCTTGCCCTGTGAACTCGAGCAGGTTACTTAATCTCGCTAAGCCTCAGTGTTCCCGTCTATCAAATGGTGTTAACGATGCTACCTTCCTCATAGGATTGTGCTGAAGATTGAGTAAATTGAAACTTGGGAAGGAATTAAAGCACCTGGCAGCTA